CTCTAATATCGATCATTTTAGTTAACCATGAAAAATGACCATATAACTCGTAAGAGCCTGTCAGACGTGGCAATGAAATATATTTCGAAAAGGCTGTCAAATTGAGAAATTTCAGAACGCATTCGCATAAGCAGTCACACCTTGAATGTAAAGTGTCTTTCGAAAGAGTGTTTTTATTTCCGAAAGGTAGATTTCTAGTGCAGCACAAGCAAATTGAAATACATATATGTATTTCCGAAATCGATTTGCGCTCTCTCAATTGGAGTCACATCTCGCAAATTTTTTTTTCTGAAACTGATTTTCGAAATGTGACAGCAAGGCACTGATGCCATATGTAGGGAAAATTCCCTACTTGTAGGGATTTTCGGTCATAAAAATGGGTGCTAGGGGAAAAGGGCAGATTTTTTATATATCTTAAAATGTTGGAATGCATGTTGCACCGAGATATCGATAAACAAGGCGAATTGATGTACATATCGTCACCTAAGGGTGAAAAGGCGCCAAGTCCATTTGTTTAAATTGTTCAGGGGAGACAAAAAATCTATGTAACTTTGTATTACCTGCCATTCTTTATCAAAAACTAAATTTTGAAAAAAAAATGGACTTCCCCTTTTCACCTTTAGGGTGCGTTATGTATATGAATTCGCCTTGTCGATAAGTGTGAAACTTTTAATTACTGTTGATATTTAAACTGAAGTGAATTGTGGATCCAATTTTGGCGTTTAAAGCTGAAGATACCGCTCCAAAAATTATTCACGACGTTGCATAGGACACGCAAAAATATGTAGACAAACGTTTTCCAGTCATATTTTTCCAACAAATGCACATATCGATACCTGAGTGGAAGATCGATCTATCTCGGCAGCCAGTATGAAAACGCCTTATCTCAGAAAACTTTTCAAGAACGCCATACTTCAGAATTTGACTGAAGAATGCCCTATTTCAGAATTTGACTGAAAAATGCCCTATCTCAGCAGCCGGTCCAAAAACGTCGTATCTCAGCACATTTTCAATGTATTTTCAGCTAAGATAGCACGTTTTACAAGCGTCTTTGGGCGTCTTACTGGCTGTTCACACATCGAAATAAAATTTCTCTCTCTCAAGTTGACAGTGAATTGCATAGAAAAGTTAGAAATATTGCCACGTCTGACATGCTCTTTACACTTCGTTTCAGTTTCTTGGAAAAGGACTGATCAGTATTAACAAACAAAAAACTCCTATGCACTTTTCTCCCTTACTCTTAAGAGTCTCAGCAAAGGCATCACAAGGTGCATACGAAAAGAGCCTTATGATATGCAATAATAAAATTAGTCGAATAAGTTGGTTGAATGAGCTGAGTGAGTTGGAGTCATCGAGTGAGTTGGAGTTATCGAGTCAACTCCCGAAAATTGTTTGAGTTAACCACATCTATGCTCTACGTCACTAACTACTTACTTAAATTATTCTTGCCTTCTTGGCTTTGCACATATCACCACACATTAAAATCACTTTATGAAGCTGAGCATTTACAATAAGTATGTGTATACAAAAATATGTACATATATGGAGTAAATAGATAATCTTATCACCTCANCTCTATGCTGGACGTCACTAACTAACTGGTTTTAATTACTTAAATTATTCTTGCCTTCTTGGCTTTGCACATATCACCACACATTAAAATCACTTTATGAAGCTGAGCATTTACAATAAGTATGTGCATACAAAAATATGTACATATATGGAGTAAATAGATAATCTTATCACCTCAGCGTCTTTCACTCAGCACCACAAAATTGTGTATTGCTTGCGATTAGCTCTGCACGTTGCCTTCTTTCCCTTGCGCTGCTCTGCTCTATGACATTAGTCTCCTTGCATTGTTTTTGTAATTGTAATTATCAAGTGTTTTTCATTTGTTTTACAGTTGTTGGTAATAATATTTGCATATGCATTTGTGTGACTCTTCTTTTGTTTACACCTCTCTTTTCTACTTATCCGTGCTCTGTCCATCAAAAAAGGCATCTACTTGAAAATTCTCGAGTATAGTTTCTTAGTAACGCCGATAATTGTCACTTAACTGTTGATGGTCGTGGGTGGTGCGCGAGTTGAGTTAAGAGAACCACGTGTAAATTTAATTGTAATTTGAGATAAACAAGAAAANCCGTGGGTGGTGCGCGAGTTGCTTAAGAGAACCACGTGTAAATTTAATTGTAATTTGAGATAAACAAGAAAAGTGTAAAGTGCAAAGTGTTTGTATGTTTCGAAAAGAAAGCCAGAATTTTGAAAAGTGAAAATTCGAAAAATTCTCTTGCCAAATTTGTTTCTATTGCGCTTGTAAATTATTACTTTTCTTTTTTTTAAGAAAAAACTAAACAAATTTAAGCAAAAAGTTTGTGCTAAGCAATAAAAATTAAAATATAGACAGAAAAATAAAAAAGGAAAAATAGTTAAAACGCATTCGATCCGGGTTTCACTGCAATTACTTNAAAAATTCTCTTGCCAAATTTGTTTCTATTGCGCTTGTAAATTATTATTTTTCTTTTTTTTTTAAGAAAAAAACAAAACAAATTTAAGCAAAAAGTTTGTGCTAAGCAATAAAAACTAAAATATAGACAGAAAAATAAGAAGGAAAAATAGTTAAAACGCATTCGATCCGGGTTTCACTGCAATTACTTAAAGTGTTACAAGAAGTGTGTGCAAGCGCTTGAAAATATTATAATAATTTATTAAATAAATAAAGAAATCCTCAAAGAAGTGTCAATACAGTATGTCGAAGAAGGAAGATACACCGTTCGTCATGTGAGTACGCAAAATTTTCCACGTTTGGGTTGCCAAAGGAAAGTTTAAAATAGTCTGGAATATAAGCAGAGAAAGGCTGCGTTTTTACTTATCTAAAGTCTTGAGTAGAAGGCCTGTGGCGCGATTCTGTAAACAGTAAGCAACAATATTCGGATCGCTATTGTAACTTGCCGACGCACAGTGGTTCAAAACTGGCATTTATTGTTCACAATTCACTTTTGCACTCAATTTAATTAAGTATTATATTTTAATGAAAGCTTAAGGAGACCGATTTTTAAATTTTTATTTGCTTGTATAAAATTTTTTAATGTAAAGTGCGGAAACGGTAGCAAGAGTAGTTCCAGTTAACAAATGTTATCTACATAATAAAAACTATTTGAAAACAATAAAGGGGTTCCCCCAAAACGAATAAAATCCCCAAAAACTATTTTAAAAAAATTCAAAATTTTTTTGTGCATTTTACCCGTTTTGGGGGAAACCTACAACCAACTAGTTTTTAACTGAACCAGGAGAATCGATTTTCTTCAAAATTGCTATTGAAATCTATCATATTATGCGTACATACTGACATACATTTGTACATAATGTAAATATTTAGTAATCTTTTTGGAGTTTTCTGTGCAAATAGCAGGTGAATATACGTCCAGGGATGTTCAGCTCTAGCTACAGTACCAGGTATTGTGTTCGGAAAAATAGTTATTGAAATCGTGCGTATTGTTGTCTTTCAAAATTAAATTGCAAAAAAATTAGTAACAAGTTATGGTTCCTATATTTCAGGCCCCTTAAAAAGTCTAGACCCGAGGGGATTCACCCTTCTTCCACCCCCTCTCGAAGGGCATGTCAATCAGTATAATTTGTAAAACCAGGCAGAATTCAGACGACNCTATATTTCCTATATTTCAGGCCCCTTAAAAAGTCTAGGGCATGTCAATCAGTATAATTTGTAAAACCAGGCAGAATTCAGACGACTAAATGCTGTTCCGTCGAGGGGGTTCAATTGTTCCGAGCTCGGCTAAACGTAAAGGACCACTTAGTAAAACTAAAAGTATTTAGCTACAAACACAAACGACTTCAATTCTCATATACAAATTTATCGTTAACTTCTTTATCATCCAATGATCGAATCTAAATCGAATAATTGTAGGACCAGCCTTGAGGCACCACCTCTCTGATAAAAAAGAATTTTAGAAATCGATTCACGTGGTCCACAGTTCTGCGGTGTAATACCTAAAAAATAAAAAAATATTCCGACGAATTGATAACCTCCTCCTTTTTTTTAAGTCGGTTAAAAAAGGAATTAAATTTTGAAAAATGCAAATATGACAAATCATGGCATCAAACTTGATGCTGCCAGACCGCTGAAAATTTGGAATAATGATCTTGCGCTTTTTTATTCCGAATTTTCACTAAGGTTCATCCAAAAAAAGAGTCTCACCTTATCCTATACACACATGACCTACAAAAATCGCACAGGTCTTCGGTGTCCTACCGTCGAATTGCCATTGGAACAGTAAATTCAATACGTATCTACGCCTGGATACGCTCCTATAGCTTTAAAATAGATTGCCGGCATTGAAGCAGGTGTTTTCTATTTCTCTGTACCCCTAACAGTAAAAAGATCAGTCCACCTGCCTCACTTTGCAAGCGTGTTTTAAGGACTAAAGTTTGCGCTATTGCTGAATCCTTCACCCTTTTGAAGCGTGGTATATTCGTACGCCACTTCTAGGCCAATTATTATAGCCCAGGCGTTTTAGGTCGACTTAGTTTTGAGTCCCTGGTCAAACGCAATATTCTAAGAAACGAAGCAGCAGCAAGTGGGTTATGTAGAGAGGCTTTCACATTGACCGCAATCGATAATAAAGTACCACCCTTACATTCAATAATCATTGTCATACAATTTGGTAATAAATAGCACATGGCATCACGATGCCTACACATAATTGCATGCTCAAAAGAATACGCGAGTAAGGGTGCGTTCACATAGAAAGCCGAGCGGTGCTAAGCGAAGAAAGGCGGAGCGATTAATAATTTGATGTCTTGTGAGCAGCAGCACCATGAAGCTGAAAAATTAAAAAAAAAATTAAAAATCAAAAACTGCTTTGCTTTCAGCTCCAAAACGCCCCTGGAAAAGCTTGCCGCATGAACACTTTCATATACATATGTAGCTACAGCAATTTGCAAGCTTCACTCCGATTGGAACGGCTTCGTTCGGCTCGGCTCCGCTTTCTGTGTGAACACACCCTAAGTAGTTAGTGAAACGCCGGTTAGATGTGCCAAGGCCAAAAGTGGTTCGCATTGGTTATTGTTCATTTAGAAAGCTTGGTAACGCTTAATATGATTTTTTTAAAAGCGGTAGGAGACGGTAGCGGTTCGTAACAGATGTTTAGCTTTGATGAGGACAGAGAAGAAAGATACAGGCGATTTCAGTTCAAAGCTCTGCAAGATCAGTCTTATTTGAGCCTCAACAACATACGCTGGACAACCACGCTGGTTGATATAATATAGCCTTACGAAACTTACGGCACTGAAACGTACCCAGATAATCTCTATTGGATATATTTTTTGTGAATACATTAAAAACGCTGGAATTTTCTGGTCAGATCTAGATGCTCGTATTTGGGTCGTAGGATTGATCTCAGTCTAGCAGATTTTTTCATTTTACAAAAGCGTACATATTTTATCTTATGTAAATGTGGTTCGGGCACTATCATATCCCTAATAGCTTTGACGAACCATGGACTTGATGTGGATCAGACCCACTTGATTGCTTAATGCGAATTTGTAAACTTTGATTGGTCTCACTTTTGATTTCTTCTCTGTCTACTTCGTTAGTCTTAATGGAAGTGGTGGAGCTACTTATCGATTTTTGGAACTACGTTAGATGTGCCTTCTGGACGCCGCTTATAATGCAAGGGGTCTATTTTTTGTCCCCTCGCAGTCTGTCCTTTTTATTTAGATAAAAAAAAAAATGTGTATCCATAAAATATGCCCTCTAAATACCTGAGAAATGTTAGCTTATTTTCTCTTCATAAGAATTATTTCATTAAAGAGTCCATTAGCTGCCCTTTTCTTGCACAAACGAACAAGGTACCTGCAAAGTATATATAGGTCTTCATCATGAAATACGCCGCGCCTATGTGGTGAAAGATAACATAAATGAAGTCCGCTCAGATCAAGATTAACAAACTGAAATGACTAGCCTGCGTGGGCATTACCAGAGCAATACTAAAAACAACTACTGCAGCTCTCGAGGCTCTACTGTTTAGTGAAAAACATATCTCGCGGGACAGGGCAGAACATAAGAAGCTAGTACATCGAAACGCACTCGGGGCAATAGAACAAGACGAAGAACTTTACATTACCTTCGTGTACCTGTGCTTTCGTAGGTACTATTTCGGTGGCAATTTTAAGATCATTTATTTAAGGCCTAGGAGCCTTAATAGGTCTGTCATGTCGTACCTCCTCTAATTAATTATCTAATCTTAGACGCCTGCTTTTGATTGGGTTGTCTTGCTGTTTAACTGCTTTTCGCGTCTGCCAAAAACCTGTCGTTTTGTAATTTTCCGTAACTCTCCGGTCTCATCTGATATCGTGCAAATGTATGTACAAATAGTAGTCTATCGCCTGTCGCTTTCCCTTCGACAATCTCATCAAGTAAAGACTTGCTGATGCAATCAATCGAAGCAAGCAACTCCAACTCAGCAATCAGAAAAGTGAGAAAAAAGCGAACAAATATCGTCAAACGTTGTCGGGTAGCTAAGACCTTGTGGACGTAGGGGGCATAGGGGACATAGGGATCATAATGCTCATATCGGTTACAACATAAACAACAGCAACAAAAATATCAAGGAAAGCAAACAGCTGCTGCTGCAGTCATCTGCCCCATCATTGATTGCATTAAGTGGCAGGCGTGGCAATTTGATTTTGCAAACGATTTGTAATGTGTGTGTGTGTGTGTACAGCTACTTGCCACACGATGACCCGTCAACATTTCTACTACACCGCAAAACTGTCAGCGCTGAATTACCGGCAATAATTCACTGATTATCGAGAAAGTGCAAAACGAGTTGGGTCAGAGGGTAAAAAAATGCTGCGGAAGCTGTTAACGGAAAGAGGCTATGCTGCTCGAAAGCAAAGAAAAAAAAGAAAAAGTTGAATGTATGGGAAAATTACATTTACTAGGAAATTTTGTGTAGAAAAATGCTGCCACATCACGATAATAAACGCTGATGCTGTAGGCGAGTGAGGAAAAGTTGGAGAGAACTGAGAGGTGGGGGTTTATCGAGTGTGCTGATGCCTTTATCGCGTTGACCAGTGAACCGCTGGGGAGGGAGCGCCACAGCTCAGGTGATTGCTGCTGCAGTCATAGTTGCAGGGCCAACTACTTAGATTGCTGACAACAATGTTTGTACGCGTTGCTGTTGTTTCTCTTCAACAAACTTCAGTAGTCGCTGGGTAATTGGTGTGCTTGCAAAGTTGGCATTGATGTGGAGCCGCGCTAGCTAATGTTGATAGACAGACAGACCGATGGGGATGAAGGCGATAATGTTGTTGAGTTTGTTGAGCTGGTCGAGGCTTTAGTGGACAGGTAGGTACCTGCCACTTGCCACTGGCCGTGTGGCGTGAATAATGCGCTGCCTTGCGCAAACACTAGCTTTTGGCCATAATGAGGTGAACCACTTGGTGATAGTACTGCAAAGAAGCGCGTTGCAGAAGTAAAAAATTACTTCATCCGCTACTGTGGTTGACATTGGCAATGAGCAACATTTGTTGTCCTTCGCAAGCTGTTTGCTGCTGCTGCATCCCCGGCGTTGACACTTTTATGGGACGTTGGCGATGCGACTTACCCCCCGCCCCCCAACTAATTCCACTAAGAATAAATTGCGGCTTTTAAAAAATCCAGGAGAAGGCTAATAGCTATATTTTGAAGAGGGTTACCATCTGTCTGAAAATTAAAATTTAATATGCAAAATTTTTATGAAAGTTGAAAATATATGTATGTAT